AAGTTTAGGCAGATTTAAAAGCTCTATCAGTGAATAAGAGTTTAACAATTATAATTTAAGCCACCACATTAGTAGCACCGTTGCCCTATCAAGGCACTATTATTAAATCAATCATTTTCAGCTGGTGTTGGAAATTGGATAGCAGACGAAACACTTTATCAATCGCGTGTACACCCGGCACAATATACAAATACTTTAAGCGATGAACAGATTACTGCATTGTACGAGAATTTGATATATGTTTGTCAAACTGCTGTAGAGGCTAACGCAGATTCTAGTTTGTTTCCTTCTTCTTGGTTGTTTCATTATAGATGGAGTAAAGCAAATAAGGCAGGCGCATTTATGCCAGATGGAGAAAAGATTCTGTTTGATACTGTTGGTGGGAGAACTACTGCAATTGTACCGAGCGTGCAGATTTTAATTCAAAATGCGCCAAGGAGTGACAGTTCTTATACATCAGCAAATTTGGTAATATATTCTTTCTATTGTTGAAAGAGGTATGCACTATTATTTGTTTGCTAATTTATGTATGTATGTACATCTATGATCATCACAAGGCAAACAACCGTCGGAAGCGAATTACAGTAGTGGAAATTTTACAATCTGAAAATTCGACCAAAGTTTCTTCGTCTAAACGTCGGCGCACATCGCAATCCATTTCTCTCAAATGAGCATTAAATAATTAAAAAATCAGTAAAAGAATAGTCTGAAGCCTTTTATGATCTTTATACCATATTTCTAATTTTGCAATAAAAGATCAAAGTCATTATAACCTTTTAAGATATTTCACGTGTCATGCTTAGTCATTTAGTAACGTGACTCAATTGAATAGTTTTCCTACCGAATTAGTCATATGCATACATTTACGTTTTCTAGAAACCTTCGCTTTCATCTTGGCATAATTCAGTTCTATTACAAATTAGAATGTCTCGTTTTCCTGCTCAATATGAACAATGGTCTACCCAGCAGCAATGGAACTATCAACAGCAACAGCCAACACAATATTTTCAACAGCAGCAACAATCCTTTCATCAACAACAGCATTCATACCAACAACCTCAATACCTTTCTGAGTCCCAAACTAACTATGAGTATATGGATTATACACCAACACCTTATGACGGACATACAACTTACACTGACGTTTCTTACGCATACCCAAATAATTCAATAACCGCCAATATGCAACAGACTTCATATGACTACATAACCCCTCATCAGATTTTACGACAGCCATTACATCAACTACAAATGCCTCAACAACAAATCCCAAGTGAAGTGACCATGTTTCCCACTCAAATTCTTCCTCAACCGCGTGAGCGACAAGATTTGCAAGAGCAACCATTGATATCACAGTATCCACAACAAGAATCGCAGCTATTACCACACAAACTTTTATGGTATTTTGCGGAACGTTATCTATCTAAAGCAAAAGCCACTGAATTATCTTCCACGTCCTCAGTTAATCAACAAAAGTTATCTTCGGAGCAACAGAAACATATTTTAGCTGCGATCAAGTGCCTGGAGGCGGTGATTATAAGCGTTGCTAATGGGAGCACATATATGCCTTTAGTTGAGCTAAAGACGCGGTTCAGGTTGAGTCAAATTCTTTTCTGGTTTACCGAAAACGTTCGAGAAGCAGAAAGTCATTTGCAGAAAGCTGTATGTATGATTTCTTTATTAATTAAATCTATAATGACGTTATTTTCTTGCTTATATTTTTTCCCCGTTATGTACTATTTCAGATAATGATATCACAGAAGGTAATTATTGAATATAGTTTTTTGTGGTGAATTTTTTAGATTCATAATACTTTTGTGTTAGTATTGGGCAATTGAATTGATTGGACTTATAAATTGAATTATTTTACTATATTAAAAATTCAATTTTCTGTTTATGTCGTTACTGACCATATTTCCTTTTTTCTTTCCCTTTTTTTTTTTTTTTAATAGCTGGACACTGTGGCTGAACTGAAATTTAGGATGATTGACCTTCAATGTAATATTTTCAAAAGTGCTAATAATATTAAAGCGGCACGTAATATCATGAAATCTGGTGTTATGGAAGCAATGGAGTGGGTGAATTTCTGCTCATAGTTATGGTTCACATGTTTCTAAAATTTTAGAATTTTTAATTATTATATTTTTCTTTATTTAAAAATGTTTACTTTTTTACATTATAGATGCAATATGCCTGATTGGACATATCACTTTCTATTACGGCATGCTGATCTTTATAACGCTGAAGGTGATTTCAATGGATGTTTGTCAACCTTGAAACAAGCAGAATCAATGGCTGACCAAAGAGGCGATATTGAAATGAAGGTATAATCAGATTATGGTAGGAGTAATTGCAAATTGTTTATATATTACGCAAAAAATCAGTACATTACAATTACAATCTATTTTTAGGCATGCCTTTTAATTTCAATTGTTCAATACGCCTTTACGAGTCAAAACTATTCAATAGCCCAGCATTCACTTGCTGAACTTTCAACTTTATATTTCCCACCACCATCATCTCGTCCTCCACAAACCTATCACATTTTTCCGATATCCAACTATCGTCTCCATTTACATTATTTGTTGTTATATGTAGCATTTAATATGCATACTGGAAATGTAAAGGATGCTACAGAAAAGTTGGCTGAAGTTCACAATATGTTAAATCAAAAGCGGGACGTAGAAAGTTTGGATGATGTGAAAGGTTATACGACGGTAGGTCATATGGGGTATTTTATGCTTTATCATTATTACTATTGTGTTGTATTTAACATTTATTTATTTAGATTCATGTTTCGGCTGCTCCTACATCGTCAACTACTATGACATCGTATTCAACTTCAACAGCTAAAAGCGTGCCAGTAAGAATCAAAGTGTCATCTAAGGCCGAAATATATACGCTCACATTTTTGATCTCAAGAATATGCAACGGAAATGCTACTAATGTGGTGGCTTAAATTATAATTGTTAAACTCTTATTCACTGATAGAGCTTTTAAATCTGCCTAAACTT